TGTGCCAGTTATTCTTTGTATAATATTTTATATCCTGCCGTGACCTTCATGGGAGTTCAGGATGACTTGCAGGAGGGCCGATGACACAATGAGTATACTATACAAGAAGTATGAATTTTGCCCTGACCGGTTTGGCAGTGGATAGAGCATCGGCCTTCGGACTGAAAGGTCCCAAGTTCGATTCCAGCCAAGGGCATGTACCTTGCTTGCGGGCACATCCCCAGTAGGAGGTGTGCAAGAGGCAGCTGATCGATGTTTCTCTCTCATTTATGTTTCTAACTCTCTATCCCTCTCTCTTCCTCTCTGTAAAAAATCAATAAAATATATGTGAAGTCTGGGTCCTGCCCACTTTTATTCACTTTGAATACACACTTGCCCTTTAGCAATGCATACAGGCAGATCAAAGGTAAAGTTTGGTAAACAATGTAAGGAGTATCAGGTCAGGAAATTGCCTCCAGCCATCACAATCATAGCAGGAGCAATCTTGTGTTGATTCCAGCTGGAATCAACGTCCATTGGCCTTCCTATGTCTCTTTTGCACTTTTATGCAAATGCTTGTTATGCTTTGGCCTCCCGCAGTATCCAACGGGAGAAACGGTAGCTATTTCATATTCATTAGAAATTCTGCTTTTAAGACTCAAAAGAAAGGTGTGAAAAATCAAATCATCTAGGTTAGCAGCACTTTTTTTTGTTGATACCCAGAATTAGGACTCTGAGGTTTTTGTATGCTCAGAGAACGTTTAACAGAAAACAAGGGCATATTTGCATATGAATTGAAAATAGTTATTACAGTGACAAATATGTAGATCAGATTTCTAGAAACTGAATTTTAGTCTAAAACAAATAAGACTAGGCAAGGTAAAAAAAATCTTAACTCTTGAATATTGCTGTCATCATTCAAGTATTCTTATCTCTTAGGTGAAAAATTTTCATTACTGTTTTGTGATGTTCTAAAATGAAAAGGTAGTATAGGATTTTATATATCCCAAAAGATAAACATCTAAATTCAGTATTTCCGTAAAGTATTATTTGCTTCCTCACCATTAGATTAAAAATAATTATTTTGTTGGCATTTCCCTAAAATATAATCAAAAGTGGTTTATAATGTAAATATTTAACCGAAAGTATGATAAGGATCTCTCTCTTGTTTTTTTTGTTTGTTTGTTTGTTTTGTGTGTGTGTGTGTTTAAATTCTCATCAGAGGGCATGCTTGGAGAGAGGAAGGGAGAAAGAGAAAAAACAAACTAACCATGAATGTGAGAGAGAAACATCTATAGGTTGCCTTTTGTTTGCTCCCCTACTAGGGATCAAACCGGAACCCCCCTGCCCTGGGCATGTGCCTACAACCTCTTGGTGCACCAGATGTCGCTCAACCAACAGCCACTCTGGCCGGGCAGGGTCTCTTTTCTGCAGCATGCTGTATATTAAAATTTTTTTAGTTACTTGCTTTTAAACAGTCATGTTGTATTTGTTACTTCCTTAAAGCAATGTTAATTCTGTTAGGTGTTTACCTAGCCCCAAATAAATAGATAAGAATTTTATTTTCACATCTGGTAATGCTGTCTGACTTTAATATGACTTCCCATTGTACATTTAATAGTTTGATTTAGTAAATACAGCTAAGACATCAGTTTTAATTAAGCATTTGAAGATCAGGATTGGCTTTGCAGGCAATTTGCTATCTCAGTGTTGCTAATGAGAAGTAATTTCTAAGCACCATTTCAAACCTACAGAAATTATCACAGCACCGTATTTGAGGGTTGTTAGTTCCTTATAATAAACCAGTGGCCCAGTGCATGGATTGGTGTACATTGGAAGGAAATTAATTAGGAGAAATATTTTAATATCGCTATTCGCCCTTTCTCTATAAGTGTCAGAGATGAAAGAAAATTAGTAAAATCGCCCTGATCGGTTTGGCTCAGTGGATAGAGCGTCAGCCTGCGGACTCAAGGGTCCCAGGTTCGATTCCCGTCAAGGGCATGTACCTTGGTTGCGGGCACATCCCCAGTAGGGGGTGTGCAGGAGGCAGCTGATCGATGTTTCTAGCTCTCTATCCCTCTCCCTTCCTCTCTGTAAAAAA